GTGTACCTATATTGGTTAGATAAAGATTCAGGGACTGTACTTACCTCAGTTTCCACCTTAAAGAAAGGATTGATCTATCTATCTGTCATATCTCTCTCTCTCTCTCTCTCGTCTATTAATCATCTCACAATCTCACGGTTTATAGCCTAATGCCTTCACCACTACACCAAACCTGGGTCGCATTTGTCATGTTTAAGGAATACTGTAGCTGTATTCACTAATAGATCCTTATACTTCAGAGGTTACCTGCTCGCCAGCATTCACATTGTCTCATTACTTCTAGAAAAGTCCCAGCGTTTGCGTCCTTTATATCAATACATTAACTATGACAACCCAGAGATGAACAGACCATCGGACAAGGAATATGATCTGCCCCGAACGGAGGCTCCTTCTACCCAAGGAAACAAGACAGGCACCGTAGAACTGAGAATAACTCCATCAATAGGTAACAACCTGGAAAGAAAGGGTGAGGACCTAGCTTCTTTTCCAAGACCAACATGGGCTGGAATTGAAAAATAGGTTGGGCATAATTTGGTGCTGTGAGTGATTGGCTCAAACCTATTCTTGTTGTGATGCGAAGTCTATGTCCTCCTTTTTTTGAAAGTCTGAACTTATGATGCATTTTTAAGTTTCTATGATATGGAACTCAAAAAGCCACTTTGATTGCTATCATTGCCTTTTTTTCTTATCTACCTAGGAAAGAAATTACTGCATTCTGATCTCCGGTTCTCTGTTGCAGAAGGCAAGGAACCAAGGGGTCTACCAAGTGCCACTTCCGTAGTGAAAGCAGAGGTAGATAAGTCTACTCAAGTGGATATTGATAAGATGCTCAGCGTCTGTGCAGCTCATTTGGTCCCACCATTGTCACCCCAGAGCAGATAATCGTATCTGATAGGAGGCCAAGATCCTCCCTCAAGAGATCAACAGTGCTTTTTTTTCAGAGACTGGAAGATGCTCCTTGAATTCCGTCAGAGTGTAATTCATTTTTTGTTCATTACAGTCGGGTGTCAAAGTATAAGCATTTTGTCTTGTTTCTTGCGGTTAAATAGAGAGAAAAATGGGACCAGTCTAAGTACGAGTGGAATTGCTGCTATCTAAATACCAGTGCCCAACTGAATGTTAGAAAAGACAGAGAAGTACAGTCCGTTCCTCTCAAGATCCTCAAACCTTTAGGACAGGGGTGTCAAACTCAATCAGCATTGCGGTTGTCCTGGGGGGGGGGAGGGCTGGGTAGGTGTGGCCAGAGTGGGTGCAGCCTACTGGGTGGGTGTGGCTGGAGTGGGTGTGGCCTACTGGGTGGGCATGGCCAGCATCGTTCCCGTCAAGCGTGCCTATGGGGGCTTGGGCAGGAATGGGACAGATCTGGGGGTCTCTGGCAGAAGGGGGTGGGACTGGGGCAAGCGCCAAGGCANTATAGTCTACTCTTTACAAGGAAAGAGATGCACATACAAAATGTGGGTTACTTTGTTGGGTTACATAGCACAAGCACTAAGTGTTGAACAAGAGGTCCTGTAGAACAGAAATGATATTTCTAGCCTTGAATCCAGATGTGATCTTACAGAGGGAATCAAGGAAGAAAGGGCTATTCTAATTAATTTAAAATAAACAAGGAAACAAGACTTAAAATATGGGAAGAGGATGGTGGACTACATCGTCCTTTGCCAATAAAAACGTATTTACTTAAAGGAAACTTCGGGTTAAATTATTTTGCCCATTTTCCCATCACTGGATTGTACTTTGGAGGTTGGGGTAGAAAAGAAAGGGAATCTATCAAGGCAAACACAGGTCCCTGGGAAATCTCTGAGGAATGTTGAATTTCTTAGAGCGAATTCCATCCTCAGCATTTTTCTACATCGTACAAGATTCCTTAATGCTGAAGTACAGAGACTTTTGAGCGTTCTTACTTAATCAAATTGTCTGCATTAAAAGGAAGAAGGGAATGTGTGAGTTCAGAGAGTCAATTCTTTTGAGGAAGGCAAAATATAAACAGAAGTTACCACCTGGAGCTGTGTTTACTTTGCGCCTTTGCAGGCAATAAAATTTGAAGTATTATTTTGAGGGAGGCTCTCCGCTTGTATCTGAAAAAAATAAAAAACAAAATCCCGAGGGCTCCTACTGTGAAAGTACATAAACAGGATACACTTTAAAAATTCAGAAGCCAGATCTCAGAATTCCTGGATTCAAATCTTACATGCCTGCGGGGTTCACTTTTAACACACCATGCAATGTCTTCTGGTCTTGACTAATCGAAGATCAGATTTCCCAACCACAGCTTTTAAAAAGAGACTCTAGGTTGTCGTATATGTTTTAAATATTTTCTCCCTTTTGGGGTATCTGCAAATAGCAGCATGAGGGGAGAAACATAAGACCCCCCAAAACACCGTAAGAGGGATGATCATTAAACACCATTTTCTATCTCAAAAGCTATTTGCGTTCTATCACAAAATCTAATCACGGATTTCTATCACCCCAGCCTTGGTGAAGCTTTAAACATAGCACTCCTTGCCAAAGCATGTGCAGGTAATCCTCGACTTACGACCACAATCGAGCCCAACATTTCTATTGCTAAGTGAGAGTGAATTTTGCCCCAGTTTACGGCCTTTCTTGCCACAGTTGTTAAGCGAATCACTGCAGTTCTTAAATTAGTAGCACCGTTGTTAAGCGAATCTGGTTTGCCCCATTGACTTTGCTTGCCAGAAGGTCGCAAAAGGGGATCACGTGACTCCCGGGACACGGCGACCGCCGTAAATACGAGTCAGTTGCCAAATGTCTGAATTTTGACCACATGACCATGGGGATGCCGCAACAGTCATAAGTGTGAAAAACGGTCATTTTAAGTCAGTTTTTTCAGTGCTGCTGTTGGGGAGAAAATTCATCATTCGAGATTTTGCCTTTTTTAAAAAAAAAAAAATTATAGAAGCTGCACAAACCCCAGACCTTGTTGGTCCAACTGTAAATCAGGAACTGAAATGTGAAGCATAAGATATAGCTGTGGTACCTAAAAATAGCTTCAAAGTCACAAAAGAGAAGAAAATAATTAAGATTTTTTTCCCCTTAGGGAGCAGGGCAGCTGATCTGGTACATGGTTGTATCTGTTCTTAGTTTCCATTGTAGATTATCATTTAAAAGAACACAACTGAGCCGTGCTTGTTAATGCTTTATCTTAATTTACAGGATTAAAACCCGGTAGGAAAACAATGTAAGAAAAATAAAATAACATTCAAGTAAACAAATGTTTCATTAAAAAGTTAAAAGTTGGTTGTTTTTCTTCGAGTTCTGGCAATAAAATCTCCTCCAGGGATCTTGCAGGATTAAAATGGGAGAAAGGCAAAGGGACCAGAATTTGCTTCAATTCACTAAACTGCTGCTTATCTTGGATTGTCTCCAACAAATGCCAAGCCCTACCAGATTAGATTACAGTCAAGAGTAACTGGGGTATATTTTCAAGTCAGCTTCCCTCCCTTTTATTGCTCGCTTCATTAAACAGCCAAAAATTTCTCACCACCAAAGCTGGGTACGGGGGCATGGTTTTTGCACTGCCAAGCAATCAACATTGGTGAGATTGGCTAGCATGGAAAAAGACAGAAAAGAATATTGGAAAGAAACGGCAGAGTCTTGTACAACCCTCCCATCAACAAGTGTGCCGATACGCACACAACGGCAACTGCATTCCATCTGGTGCTCTGGCAAATAAAACAAAGCAAACACACTGAAGAAGATGATGCAAATTAGATAGTCACTTCCAAGTTCAACCTGTTCATGCAAAAAGCAAGATTTGTGTGTGTGTGTGTGTGTGTTCTTTTTTTAAGGGAAGGAATATAGGAATTTAATTCCAAATCCTCTCTGTCTCCACCCCCATTTTACTTGCTTTTGCTTTGGGCTCCAATTATCTTTTTCCATTTCTAGTTCCAAGGCACAGACTGAGGAATGGTGGAAAGAATCTGGAGCATCTTCTAACCAGTTAGCATCTAACTCATTCAATGCAACCTTCTCAGATCCGTGCTTCAGTCTTTCAGTGGGGCTTACATGATGGGCTTCATGTAAACGTTCGGAACACCCAAGGAATGAACATGATCTTTACCAGTTTATCCCTGAATTGTAGCAAAGTCTTGTGTCCTTCTGATCCTCTTAAGGACCAACTCTAAAGATGTGCCTCACTGTATTCCTTTGGGGAAGCCGTTTCCCCCTCAAAGAGCTGTAAAAAAAATAACTTCGATTCCTATTTTAAAAACAACGATCAGCCTCACTCTCTACCACTACATGCCAATTATGTTCCACTTGCATTAACACAAGAGCTGGGCACAGAAGAGAGCTTTGCCCCCTCAAAACTCTTGTGTTGGGGGACAGAGCTCTTATCTGCTGAGTGCAACTGGCAATTCAAGTTTTCCTAACAATACACAAGTCATTAAATTTAAGGAACCAAAGACAACGTACGCCCCGCAACATTTAAAATTCTCCCAGATTAAAAACCAAAGGCTCCCCCTTTACACACACATACACACACACATGCCCTTCCTCTTTTTTCCTGCTTCCATTCCACCCGCCCACCCACTTCCGTTTCCAATTGTTCCTTTTTTTTTGCAGGAATATCTGCATTATAAGTTATTTCTCTGAAGCGCCTCACAGAGGTTCTGGTTGGCATCAGGCTCTTCGATCATCTCCTCCACCGTTTCCCATTCCCCAGACCTGCTGGATCTTTTAATAGCATCTACGACACTTTGCATATAGAGACCATCTTCAAAGGAAGCTGCCATTGCCACCGGTTTGGGATCCCAGGTCCGCTGGTCTTCCTGGTCCTGGAAGGAAAGACGGAGAGCTTGCACCAGGTAGACCATCCCTTTCAGGTACAGGAGAGGGATGTCTTTGAATTCTTTTTCAGAAAGCTCTGCGTGGATCTTCAGGGTGTCCTTCAACAACAGCTCTTCCTGGGGAGCCGTGTTCTTCTGGCCGTATAAGTCCATCCCGCGAGCAACAAGGCGGCCAGCCGACCCTACAATCATGACCTCGTGAACAAAGGACCCAGGCATGTTGAAGTTCAGAGTCACCGTGCTGCAGATGCCTCCCGCCATCAGCATCTGGAAGAAGCAGAAGTCGTCGCTGGTGACGTGGCGGATGCCGCTGATGGCCGAGTTCTGCTTGACAAAAGTTTTCAGCAGCCCGTGGACCTTCTCCGCCTTTTGGCTTGTGAGATGGCTGAGCAGGTCTACGATGTACGTCCCCATCGTGTGCAGGCCGCCCCCACCCATCAGCTCATCGCAAATCCAGTTGTACTTCTGGCTGAGGAGGCTTCCCCAATACACACGCACGTCACAGACCAGGATGTTGCCGACGTAGTGTTCGTCGATTAACTGTTTCATCCTGACAAAAGCTGGCAAGAAGCGCAGAGCGTTGCCCACAATGCTCATGAGTTTGGGGTAATACCTGGCAGCCGTGACCATCTTGAAAGCATCGACAGAGGTAGCGGCTTTCTCACAGATTACATTCTTTCCAATTCCTGTAGACAAAGGGCAGCACTTTAATTCAGAGGTCAACGGGAATCTTTTTACTCCACACCCCAAAGGAGGAGAAAAACGAAGCCTTCAAAAGCGGAGCGGTTGCAACTAGCCGATTTCCAATTACTTCGTTTTTATTTTACTTTTACACATGGCAATACACATTTCATTTATATATTTTTTTCTATATTCCTCCTAACATCTTTTTAGTACTTAAAGAGGCCCCTAAACTGGTTGTGCCGATTCAAGAGGAAGCAAGGTTGGTTATTTTTAGCAATTCATCCATGAAAAATGAACTTGTCTGCTTGTTTTTATAATACATGTTAGAGCCGTGAGTTAGACTGATAGCAAGAAATGTGGCCATGAAGAATTTTTCAGGATATCGGAAGTTGTTCATTCTATCATTTAAGGGTTAAGATGTTGTTGTAGTCTTTGTAGATTTCCAGTGCTCAGCACAGCTACAGAAACATGCAGGTTTATTTATAATTTTATCCCTTAGAACAGTGGTTCTCAACCTTTTTAATACGGCAACCCCAACCGGTCGTAAGTCGAGGACTAAACCGGTCATAAGTCAAGGACTAAACCGGTCGTAAGTCGAGGACTTTCCCTGCCCGGGAGCGCCACGCATGCGTGGTTCCGCCCCCTGCGCCGGCCGAGGCGTAGCTGGCAAGCGGCAGAGACGGAGCAGGCCAACCACTAGCTGGCCCAGCTCAAGGGAGGTAAGGCACCCGCCGGAAAAGGGGGAAAAAAATGGCGGACAAAAAAAATGGCGGACAGCCTTGCTTGGCGACCCCCATGAAATGGTCAATCGACCCCAAATGGGGTCCCGACCCACAGGTTGAGAACCACTGCCTTAGAACTTCTCAGAACATGTAAAGTTAGTTCAGTCATACACAGAAGATGTCACTTCTGTAAAAAAAAAAAAAGCATTTTTGTTCTGAAGGTCTGGGACATTACTTCAGTTTTATTTAAGAAGAATATAAATTGTTAAGTAACCTTCCTGCTTGTAGTGCTGGATAGGCCAACAGCCAGAATAATGTTGGCAATTTGCAGGGATGAGGTTGCTGAAAAATACCCTGAGAAACAGCTATTGAGTTGCACTATTTAGGCAACCCAGAGACAGTCTGAAAGACTTTGAAGATCTGGCTGTTCTCCCAGGCACTGGGCAGAAAATATTGCCAGACGCAGCAAGGATGGAATGCTGAATTCATCTTGAGTAGGAGTACAAGCCTGCATTCAGAGAATTGCACTCGGAAGTCAGCGAAAGCCGACTCCAGCCAAGAATTAAAACAGCTTATAATGCTCCTGAAATATATAACTTTTGTATGAACGTAGGCAAGCAATCATCCTGAATACTCCTTCAACAATCAACGTAACTATTTTTTGCTATGTTGACAAGGAAAAGACCATGCAACAATATTGTCACTGAAACTTAGAAATGTTTCACCTTGTATCAATCCTCATCAAAATAAATCCATACAGAAATACAGGCAGTCCTATTTTAGTGACTACCTTGTATAGCAGTGGTGGCGAACCTATGGCACGGGTATCAGAACCTCTCTGTGGGCACGTGCGCCGTCGCCCCAGTCCTAGGCCGTCAGCTGGGTTTTATAAAACCTTTTCGCTTTAGGCCTCCGCCGCCGTGTCCCCAAAAAAAAAAAAAAGGTTCAATCAGTCAATTTCAACTTCTTGCAGAAAAAAGATCTTGCAAAGTTGGAATTGATTGATTGAACTTTTTAGTCCCACCCAGTCTGCCGTTACCACCGCAGCCACGCCCAGCCAATGGGCCAAACCCACCCGGCACTCGACGATGCATAAGTGGGTTTTGGGTTGCAGTTTGGGCACTCAGTCTCTAAAAGGTTCGCCATCACTGTTGTATAGCATCTGTTCATAACTATGATGATGAAAAGGTAATTTTGTGGCCAAGCTTCACATTTACAACTTTTGCAGGTCTGTAAAGCAGAGGAAAGCTGAAGATTGAAAACACAGTCAGTTTCATTTTAGCCACTCTTTGCTTAATGATCTAGTTCACAGGTGTCAAACTCGCGACGTCACGTGACAAGTCACGACGTATCGCAACTTTTTTCCCATTGCCCGGCAATGGGGTAGACGCGGTTTTGGCGTGACGCATCCTGGCCTGCGGGCCGGCAGTTTGACACCCCTGATCTAGTTGCTGGTCCCAGTTGTGGATTGCTAAACAAGGACTACCTGTAGTTTGGGTTTAAACGAAGTAGGGTAGTATTAACTGGCTGGCTGTCAAAAATGAGAACAAAAACCTCTCTATTCCCAATACATTTTGGTTTAATATGTGGTATCTGCTATGCAAATCCACCCTAGGAAAAGCAAATATGTTTATCAGAAAATTGAACCCATAAAAGCAAATAAAAAAACAAAAAATACCAACCCTTGGAGGCAATCCTGAAATGAAACATATCTGGGCACAAGCAATTGCCCTAGAGCAGGCATGTCAAACTGCTGGCCCACAGGCCGGATGCATCATACTGAAACCGCGCCCACCCCATTGCCGGCAATGGGGGAAAAGTCGCGATACGTCACGCGATGTCACGTGATGTTGCGAGTTTGACATGCCTGCCCTAGAGCCTAATAATTTACAAGCTCATATGTAAGAATCTGAGCCTCTGCAGGAAATGTTCTATGTATTAATTTTTTCTCTGTGTCCCCCATAATCCATCTACCTGCAAGGACCTGTGGTGGTGTGATCCCTCCCCCCACCCCCCGTGGGAGATTCATGTGATCTGATCTTTTTGGAGTAACAATAATCCTCCAAGTTTGTGGCTAGAAACAAACAGGCCTTTACTTTACCAACTGAAAATTCACCCAAGCATGAGGGTTTTGAACAAGAGAATTCCCAGTTCTCTGATACAATTTGTTCCAGGCTGAAATGTTCAATTTTCTGCTATTAATTACTCAACAACTGTGACCATCTTCCAGCTGGCATCTACCCAAGAGAAAGCTGAATCTTATACAATGCCCAAAACCGGCTATGGGAAAAACACCGTACCTAGAGCCTTCACAGCAATTTGTCGCGTTAGTGGTGGGGGAATGTTGATGCAAACCAGATCTACATCCTGGTGCAGCAAAACATCGTCTGTTCGACTTGTGTAGAAGGAAATGTTCATTTCCTCAGCTAGCTGTTTGGCTTCCTCTTCGGTCTTCCCCCAGAGAGCCTCGATGGAGAAGCCTTCTGCTCTCAGCAGAGGAACCAGCACACGGGCTGAGCTCCCAGTCCCAAATACTCCGACACCGGGAAGCATTTTCATGTTGTGTTCCTTCCGTACTTCAGTCCCCCAAGGCAAAGCCCCCAGAGAGTCTCTGATCTCTTCAGCATCTTTCTTCATTCATCGTGTCTACAAGAGGGAGGGGGGGGGAGGAGTGCAGAGAAGAGCAACAAAGATGATCAGGGGACTGAAGGCTAAACCATGTAAGGAACGGTTGCTGGAATTGGGTATGTCTAGTTTAACGAAGAGAAGGACGAGGGGGGACATGATAGCAGCATTCCAATATCTCAGGGGCTGCCCCAAAGAAGAGGGAGTCAAGCTATTCTCCAAGGCGCCTGAAGGCAGGACAAGAAGCAACGGGTGGAAACTAATCAAAGAGAGAAGCAACCTGGAACTAAGGAGAAACTTCCTGACAGCTAGAACAATTAACCAATGGAACAGCCTGCCTCCAGAAGTGGTGAATGCTCCAACACTGGAAGTTTTTAAGAAGAGACTGGGCAGCCATTTGTCTGAAATGGTGTAGGGTTCCTGCCTGGGCAGGGGGTTGGACTAGATGACCTCCAAGTCCCTTCCAACTTTATTATTATTATTATTATTATTATTATTATTATTATTATTATTATTATTATTATTATTATTATTATAATGGATCATTCGCAAAGTTTCATTTGCTAGTTTTCTATTTAACGTAAAGGTCAACATCCAATTTTGATGAAGCTTCTCAATTTTGACTGCCTCTCTCTATACTTTTAAATATGAATCCTGCCCACGTGCAATACAGACAGTCCTCAACTTAAAAACCACAACTGAGCCCAAATTTATGTTGCTAGGTGAGAAGTTTGTTAAGTGAGTTTTGCCCCCATTTTATAACTTTCTCGCTGCATCGTTAAGTGAACCACTGCTGTTCTTAAATTAGTAACCCAGTTAAGTGAACCTGGTTTCCCCATTCGCTTAGCTTGTTAGAAGGTCGCACAAGGGGATCACATGACTCCAGGAGACTGCAACTGTCACAAATGTGAGTCAGTTGTCAAGCATCAAATGTAAATCACGTGACCATACGGATGCTGCAACGTTCATAAGTGTGAACAATGGTCATAGGTCACTTTTTTCAGTGCTGTTGTAACATCAAAAGGTCACTAAATGAACTGATATAAGTCAAGGGCTACCTGTATGCACTGCCAGCATTTCCTTTAATGAATTCACATATGCATTGGATATTGTGTGAGTGAGATAATTAGCACAGAGGCCGATAATCCTGCTCCTATAGGTCTGTTCCCTTTCAGATTCTCACCATCTCTTTTTGGACCCACAGAGAACAAACAAAGGTGGAGCTGTGTCTCAGCCCTGCATTAATGATATCTCAAGCCGACCTGCCAAAGGCCTTTACCCAGCAGAGCTCCCTGTAGATACGAACAAAATGGGGAATGTGGAAGGATTAACATTGGCTAACAATGGCCACAGGGCTCAGAACTGACCCCTTCCACAAAACACGCCGCTTTGTAAAAGCTCTGTTCTCTCAAATAAGAGTGAAGCCACTGTCCTACTACTCCATGATCCAACCTAGAGAGACAGTGGCCAAGAAGGTAACAAAGAGAAGACCACTTGCTCCATGGATTAAATATCTATGACCAAAGCAAACTCCAATTAGACTTCAGACTGGAACGACTCGAGATCTTTTATTATCACCGTTTCAAACGGGATTGGTCAGGCACAAAGCCTTACAGCCCTATGTTTTAAAACAGGATTTGGCTCATTCCAAGATGCCTTGGACAGCAATCCCTGCAAAACGGGTGTGTGTGTGTGTGTGTGTCTTTAGGACCCCTGGCACTCAGGGGGTGCTTTGCGTTAAGGCACCCTAAGAAGCCCAGGCGTAGCTTTGAGCTAGGAAGCTCATCAAGGGGGCCCAAAAGCCGTGGCTCAGAGGCAGGTCCTTCTTTGGATCCCACACCTATGAATCACAGCATCAGCCCCTAACCCAGTGGTTCTCAACCTGTGGGTCGGGACCCCATTTGGGGTCGATCGACCATTTCATGGGGGTCGCCAAGCAAGGCTGTCCGCCATTTTTTTTTGTCCGCCATTTTTTCCCCCTTTTCCAGCGGGTGCCTTACCTCCCTTGGGCTGGGCCAGCTGGTGGTCGGCCTGCTCCGTCTCTGCCGCTTGCCAGCTACGCCTCGGCCGGCGCAGGGGGCGGAACCACGCATGTGTGGCGCTCCCGGGCAGGGAAAGTCCTCGACGTACGACCGGTTGGGTAGTCCTCGACTTACGACCGGTTTAGTCCTCGACTTACGACCGGTTTAGTCCTCGACCGGTTGGGGTCGCGGCATTAAAAAGGTTGAGAACCACTGCCCTAAGCACGTCTGTATTGAATCTCCTGGGTATACAAATGCACATCTACCCACGTATGGACAAAGACACGTTTGGCACAAAGGTCTAGACAGCGACATCTGTGTCTCCTTATGCCTGAGTATGACGGTCCATACTCAGGCATAAGGAGACACAGAGGGAGCTGGGGCACAGACGTTAACACGTATACACGCAGCAATACGTGCACACGCATTCACACGGCCACCTGCCAAGTGAACCCTCCCCCCCCGCCCCTTCCTCTCCCTTTCCCCCACGCCCACCTCGTGTCCATCGGCGCCCCTTCTCACGTGCGACTCGGCCGGCGACCGAGAAGAAGCGAAGGAGGGCCGCGGCGCCTCGCCGGGCGTCGCGCTGGCTCGCTCCCGACACCGGCGGCGGCGGCGGCGGCGCGCTCGGCCGGCCACCTCCTTCCCTCCCGCGAGGGCGGAGCGCTTTGCGCGTGCGCCAGCGCTCGGGGCGGGGCGGAACAAAGACTGGCGCGAGCTGCTTCTGCTCCTCCCCCCTCCCTCTCCGTTTCTCTTAAAGGCGCCGCCCTCTCCGTTTCTCTTAAAGGTCTTTTCCTCCGGCGCTAGGATGGAGTCAAATTAGCGCGAGTTTAAGCACCCGCTGGGGACGCCTGCTGCAAAAGTGGAGCGGTGTTATGCACCCTAAGCTGCCCCTCTTTTGATTCATATTATTGTGCTTTCCTTGTTTATGGTTTTAATAATAATAACAATAATAATAATAATAATAATAATTTTAAAAAAAAAGTTGGAAGGGACCTTGTAGGTCATCTAGTCCAACCCCCTGCTCAGGCAGGAAACCCTATACCATTTCGGGCAAATGGCTGTCCAGTCTCGTCTTATTGCTTTGCTGTTGTTATGTTTACGTTTTTTTTATTATTTTTCCCGTTTTATTGCTCTGTGTTGCCCAGAGTAGCCCCCCCCCATGGGCAGCAAATACATTTAACAAATAAATAAGTACATTGATAAGCTATCCTTAATTTCTTTAACTCGCTCTTGTTTATTCCTTTGAACTGGGTTTGCATAGCAGGGCTTTTGAAAAAGGTACCGTGCAAAATATATTGAAGAGAAGAGGGGGGGAAAGCAACAGGACTGCAGTGATGACACGGTCAAAGAGCAATGGATATCTAACACAGATTCAAGTGAATCAAAAGGGAAGAGGACATGTTGGATGCTGACCACTTTGCTTTGATCCAGGCCATTGAGTTTTATATAATATTGGTTAAAATAAGCCATGACTTAACACGGCGCATGAACCCAATTGCTACTCTGCTTTTAGCTCATTTTTCTCTGCCAGCTTTTGTCTGGAAGCTGGTTAATTCCTGTTGGCTAATACCTTTCCAAGCAAATTAGCAGTAAGACTTTTAGCTCTGCAAAGGGCTGTTCTTAGGCTCTGCATATATGGAGCAAAGCACAATGTAAGGATTAAGTATGTGCCATCAAGTGATTCTTAATGACGCATTAAGATCCAAAAATCATGACCCCTGGGTCAAAAGTCAGGACCTCTGGGTCATAGGTTGAGACCTAGCATCTAACAAAATGATTTTGTTATTTCTTCTTTTTGTGAGTGTGTTGTATTGTTTTGTGTTTTTGACTTTTGTATGTCTTTCAGAGTCACATATGCGAGATGGATGGCTACATAAATTAATGAATAATAAACTTACCTAATTGCAATGCCACCAGATTCTGATGCTCCCATGCAAACTCCTTCAGCTCCAGAAGAAAATATCAGTTTCGGTTTTTCTCCAGAATAGAATTTGGAGTTGCATACAAAAAAACTGAAATACAAAGAAGACAATATCAAAAGGAAGATGAAACAGGAAAGAGACATCATTGTTTTCCTCATTAGATGGTGTTTCTGCAATATTACTGACCAAACAAGCCTTAACAAACCACATTCAGACTAAATGCAAAATCAGAACCCAGATGGGCTTTCCGCACCCCACTGCTGCTTCAAAGCTTTTTAACTAGAAAAATCAGGAATCAACTTATCTAAGCTACCATGTCTGTTTTCCACATAGCTATTGCAACTTGTAAAACAGTTAATGGCTCAGAACAGGGGACTCCACGTCCTATAAGCCAGTGGGCATATTTGCAATTGAATGTTATAATCTAGTCTTAAAAAATAGTCATCATGTTTCATGTGGCTGATGGGATGGAATGTGCACCTGGCAGCAGCCAAGGGGAAGGCGTGGTCCATCTCAAAGCCTTCCCAGAAAGAGTCCCAAATTAAAAGACTGCACAGTGCCAATCTGGAAGGAGGGTGGGAGAGTTTCAGGGTAACCACACCCTAGAACTTCATAGGATACCTGTATACCCCTAACAATCTGGGACTTCATTTTAATGAACACTTATGACCACGGCAGCATTCCCATGATCACATTTGAATGCTTGGCAACTGATTCACCTTTATGATGGTTGCACCTTTTGTGATCTTCTGACAAGCAAAGTCAGAAACTGGAAAAAATAAATTCAATATTTGCACAGCAAAATAAAATCAAGAGCTGCTTGGCAAGAAAATGGTGGGGAAGATGCAAACAAAACACAAAAACGCAGAAAAAGGGGCTTGAATTTTAGGTACGGAGGACCCGACGTGTAGAGGGGCAATTTATTGCAAGAGAGGTAATCTCCATCAACCCCCACCCCACAAAGCTGGCTAATGGGATATGTAGTCCACAGCATCTCCTACACTGTCT